CGACGCAGGCAGCAGCGATGGCAGCGGCGGTGGGGCCGCAAAGCTTTGCAACTCTGGCGTCCACATCCTTCCAAGTTTGCAGCACAGACTTGATGCGCTGCAGCTGTTTTGGGAGGCGCGCAAGAAGAAGAGTGTCTGAGCTTGCATCCACGCCTTCCTTCGCGTAGAGGGCAAAGAGCTCATCGTTTGTGTACAGCAGCGAGCTGGAGGGGTCGTGGTCCGCCTCATCCGCAGATATTGGCCCAACATCGTGGGTCCGGGCACCGTCGGAGAGCCACAGGCGGATTACTCTGCGTAGCCTCCCTCCTCCGCTGTTCTCTCCTGCTGGCGCAGCAAGACTCAACGACACCCGGGTGTACAGCAGCACACTCCTGCCAGCAATGGTTGCGGTCATGAGTTCGACAGGAGCGTGGATCATAGACAACGCGTATGCGTCGCCCAACAGGCGTGCGAAGGGCCCGGCTGCCTCCTTCCACGTCCTCCCCTCGTCACCGGATTCGAAGACCCTGCGCCGCCACGGCGAAGAAATCCGGAGGTGACCATGAAGAGTTTCCCCGCCCACTCGAGAAGAGTAGCAGCGTCACAGTCCTCAGCAGCCACAGGCGCCGCAGGAAACTTCCAGCTGCCCCCATTGTCGCCGGAGTACATGACGGTGCAGGCACGTCTGTCCCTTCCCCCGGTGATGAATCCCGCAAGAGGAAAGAGAACCGTCGCGGCCCCAACCGCAACGCCTCTGGCGCCACGAGGGAGTTGCAGCCCCTCCCACGACTGCTGCCGCATCTGTTCGGCAAGCTCGGAATCCAACGGCCGGGGAGACCTCCACGACACTCCTTGCCCTTCCCGCCCTTCCCCGGGCCCATGAACTTCACCAACAATCAACGCAAGGCCCCAGTGAACTCCACGCAAAGAAGTGCCTGTCGCCGTCACTGTTGGCACGAGCAGATGTATTTTGTTGTCCTTCCCCACGGCCTTGGGGCCAGGCGGTAATACAACGTAGCCCTCTTCTTCCGGTCGCTTGGTCACAAGCTGCGTCTTCCACGCTTTTCCTTCCCATGCGGCGTCCTCTTTCAACTTCACATCTGCCCCGTACGCACTGTACTTGGCCCAAATCCCGGGACGCTTGTTGCTGTCACCGCTGCCGTGTTCGCCGACGGCAAGGGCAACCATCACACCCTTCACGTCAAGAAGGGAGTGGCTGAGGAATGAGGAGACACTCCCGTAAAGAGAGCTACTTTCGCGCTCTTCTCCCTCCGCAAGCACTGGAGATTCCCCTGGTTTGAAGAGCTCCACCTCCTGCGACGCCTCCTGCGTCCCCGCAGCGTTGGCCCCAGACCCACTGCCGCCGCAGCACACCAACAAAAAGAGCAGCAGCACCGCTGAGGAAGGCCAGTGCAGGGACATGTTGCGCCGCTGCTCACCCTCTTTCTCACTTCGTCTTTCCCTCCTTGCGGCGGGTCCGCGCAGGCCGCGACGGTTGTGTGCGAGTGAGTGTGTGTCTGTGTTGTTGGCGATGGCAGCCGCAGAGCCCCCAAGGCGCACAGCGGCAGCAATCAGCGTTTGGTCTCTTTTGGCTTCTTCCGCTTCCTCCCAAACAGAAGAAAAGAAAAACAGGGGACAACGCAAGAAAAAATCACCGGAAATGTACATCTGCCCTTCAGCAGCACAACACTCGCGCCGCAGATATCTGCGATCACCTCGCGGAGGAAACAAAACAAAATAAAACAAAAAAGAGAAGAGGGAGAGGCGCAAGTGCCCGGGCGCGGCACGCAAACAGCGGCGCCACGCAGTCCGCAGTGAAGGCCGCTGCGACAAACGCGTGGGCCGCACGACCGCACACTCGCCGCCCCCAAGAAACACACACACACACAAGGCACACAGGGAGAGCCCGCAGAGTTCGAAACACAAAAACAAAACCCACAAGCACAAGTCACGCGCCGCCTTCCCCGCCTCCCCCCTCCCACTTTTTTTAAACCCCG